CGTCCTGTGCCACTGCTGGAGGTGCCCCTGCTCTGGCGGGGGGTTGGACTAGATGATCTCCAGAGGTCCCTTCCAGCCCTGACCGTTCTGTGATTCTGTGATTCTGTGGATGCCTCTCGTTAGCAGAAACCCTGTACCCGAGGGCTGACTTTCATGTTCACATCTTCCATGGAATACTCTTTTTCTGTCCTTTTTCCCCGCTGTAGTGGGCAGACACCAGCTACTTCGGAACTGAATTTCCTCAGGAAAGCCCAGACGCTGGAGACCTACGGGGTTGACCCTCACCCTTGCAAGGTAAAACAGTTTTCTGAACGCTGTTCCTCACGCTGCGTTTCTTGCTCCGGCCGGGAACGAGCTGCAGAGGTACCAGTGCTGCTCCTGAGTGCAGCCGTTTGTCCCGGGCTGGTGCGGTGTGTGCCGGCAGAGCCGCGGTCAGTGGGACGTGCCGGAGCCCTCAGCCCACTCCGGCCACAGAAACCAGCCCCAAGTGGACATGTGAGCACAGAGGGGGCGCAGAGGGCAAGCGCTCCAAAATCCTCCCAGAGAGTATTTAGGGAAGCCGTAAGAAAGCGTTTCCACACGCGGACAGCTATAAAAAACAGTGGCCGATCATCTTCTGCTCGAGTGTGTGATCTGGGGGCAGGAACACGGTCAGTAATGTGCCTGAGAAACCAACAGGCATTAATCTGCCCGGGACAGTCTATCGCTCTGCTCTTCCCTGGCCGGTAATCCAGTTTTCTGTTGGAAATGCTTTTTATTGACTGTAGATGTCATTGCATTTGGCTCTCTCTGGTTCCTTATAATCCCATCGCATGCAGATGGATGCGGGATGCAAAGCAGACGGAGAATTTTCCTCCAAGGGCAGCGCCTGCTCTGTGGTCCCCGGAGGCTTTTAACTGAATTATGCCACACAAATACTCAATTGCGGTAAATATACCTGACCCGGAGGGGGGTGTCCCGTTTACAGGCAGTCTGTGATTGCCGACGAGGTTGCCAGGCTGGAGGAGCTGAATCACCGCGCCGGTTCAGCCTTGCCGGCTGGATCCGGCCCCCCCTGCCCGGGGGGCGCGGCGG